AATACTTCTCTTGGCGTACAAAGCCATCAATGGCCTGGCACCTTCTTATCTCCAAGACATGTTAAAGTCTTATCAACCAAGCCGAGCGCTGCGCTCACAAAATGCCAGACGTCTGGTGGTCCCTAAGGTTTCAAAAAGCACTGTCGGTGGTGTTAAGGAAGCAGACACGGTCTCTACGTTTAAGGCCAGGCTTAAAACACATACTTTAATTTAGCATTTGGTTAGGTTGTTTGTCTGAGCAGGTCGTTTCTCTGGTCTTGGAGTCCGCGTATATGGGACCCTGTCCGCTGCATCTTCAACCCTATGTTCTAGGCTAGACAGTCCTCTTTAGTTAGCATATGGCTAGGAAGGTAAGACTCAGGGAAGGCTAAACTCCAGTCATGCTGCGTAAGGAGCCCCCTGCTGGAGAAGTATAGTATCCTCTTCTTCCTACTTTCAGGATTTTGACTGTAGTTTGTTAGTTTGTTCATATATAAATAAAGATTACTTACTTATTTACTTACATTGCTATTCCATACAACATCTGTGAGCAGTAAACTCTTTACTTTTTCAAATGTAGAACTGGCAAGAATCTAAGGAGCTGTGATTTCGAGCCTTTATTTGGGATATTTCCTAAAGTTTCAGGAGGTGAGACAGCGGTGAGTTGGTTTCGTTACTCAGAGAGAATACAGTAGCTGCACGCTGCACACAGGAGCCACAAAGAAGAAAATGTAGTTATTTGTGTTTGCACCAAGACGGCTCTTCATCTTTTCACTCTGCTGTCCCGAGGGAGCGGGTCCCTCCTCGGTGTGGGTCTCCCTGACGTCTCTCACTTTTTATCCCACTGGGTTTTTAGAGTTGTTCCTCTCTGAGGCAGCAGGTCTAAGGACAGAGATGATCCAGGACTCTCCACATTTATGGACATGGCATTTATTGTGTTTGAACAGTTTGATTCTCTGATCTGTGTTGGCGAATCGACAGCTTTGTATATAGGGGTATACAAAAATAAATTGAATTGAATTGTGTCATGTGGTGAAGTGCTGAAAGGACCCAAAATACAGGAATGCAAAAAAGTATATAATTTAGTGAACATAACATAAGTAACACACACTCACACACACACACACACACACACACACACACACACACACACACACACACACACACACACACACACACACACACACACAGTTCCCGACTTGAGTAACGACAGTGGTGACATCATACATTGTGGTCAGGTTTGTGACACCACTCTGGCCAGTGAACAAAGAGCTGTGGGACTGGACGAGGCGTGGGGGAAACTTTCATCCAATTAAATCAACACCAGTACTGAAAGAGACTGCTGTGGCCACTAGTGCCATAGCAACCACTCGACAAACAAATAATAAAAACTAATTTATGCCAGACGTGACAAATACCATGCATTATGCAGTGACTGTTCCAAAGCTGATCCCCACCACTCAAGCAAGAAATCCCATCGGGAGAAAAGGTCATTTCCCATCTGGGCAACAACCACTCAACAGTTGCCATGTGACTTCTTGCAAATCAATATAAACAGAGCTCAATGCAGAGATTAAGTCTGCAGTGGCAATGAATTATATGAGGCAGTTGTGACAAGAACGTAATTTCACTGGAGAAAGCCCCAAAAACCAAACCAAAAGCTTTACAGAAAATACCTTTGAATCAAAACCATGGGGGCGGGTCCCAACTCAAAAGTGGCCAAAATGACGAGCGCTGACATTCTTGCATTTTGGATGCTCCAGTAGAGCAAATTTTTGGCCCATTAGTTTAGAAACGGCGGAGATAGCGAGACTCTGTTCGTTAATATATACAGTCTATGATCTAAACGCAGGCAATCAGTCCTGTCCATAATGTCATGTTAGGACAGACCATTACGTTTTTTTAGTTTATAAATCATTGGATGTTACAGCCCGCTACTCATTTTAAAGCAGGAAATGTAATTTTTGTATCACAATGCATCTATGATCGATAAATGTACAAGTCTACAGCTGATATCCGAGTTCAAGTTCACAATGTTGGTAAATCTCTAAATTGCCTGCAATACCACACCCGGCCTTATAGATAGATAATATTCTGGTTTCATTCTGTTTATCCATCATTTATGGAAAAAAAATATAGAAACACCTGAGCGGAATCCAAAGAATGAGTATTGCTTGAAAAAAGGTAAATTTCCTCATCACAGTTTTTTAGGATTGATTAATTGGATAAATTTATAACACATTGAAGCAACTGTTATTAAAGCTTAATTCATTATTATAACACATGCTGGAGCAGGTACTTTTAAGTAAGAAGTAATCTTTTTAGTACAGTATATACCGCCTTTCACAGACCAAGAACACAAAGCGGTTTACAATTGTTATTTCTTTTGGCATTTGTCTCTCACGCCACATTTGATGTTTCATTTATCGAAGGCGAAGCTACAGGCACCGAGTGCAAGCTGCTGCATGCTTTAAAATCATGATCATCGTGGGATAGCCCTCTCTCCTCTCAGCAAGAAGGTCCTGGGTCAAATCCCGTCGGACCAGGGCCTTCTGAGTGATTTTGCATGTTTCCTCCCCGTGTCTGCGTAGTTTTCCTCCGGTATCCGTTTTCCCCTACCACAAAAAATATGTACAAAATGTCCTGCATATGCCTCCAGTACTGGCGACCCCGCTCCCATCTCTGTGAGGAGTGAGAGACACAATGCCCAAAAATAACAATTGTAAACCGCTTTGAGACTCCTTGTCCATTTTCCTTCAGTTATAGTATTGAAAACTACATAAAACAGAAGGGTTGTGGTGACCAGGTCAATTTTATTGGCCAGGAATACTTATGTAATGGTAAAGTTAAAGGGACTATAAAGAGATCGCCAGTGTCCTTTATAGCTTTTGTTTATATGTTTCAAGTAACAATCTTCTTTGTTATGCCACATTTGAGTGACCTGGTACGGGCGGCCCTGGCCAGCTGCTGCATCCCACTGGTAATGTTCTGTCTGTGCTCTCCACGTTGGCCTCGATGAGTCCTGCGTGATCATTAACATGCAGCGGTCAGAGAGCATCCAGCATAAGAAAACAACAAACATGTAGCAACAGCAGCGGCCAGTTTTTCCGGAAAACCAAAGAAATATGTTGAAGTTGAAGGATGAGCTTTCCCAGCTAGTACTGCTTTGTGTTATGTCAATAGAAATACAAACAAATATGCATAAATATAGTGTCATTTAAAGCTGGGGTACCAAACATCTCAAACGAAATTTATGTTGTGACATCAAAGAACAGGTTCAGCAGTTTCACATGAATTTACTGCCTCTGTTACGTCTTTGAGAGAGGCTCACGCTCACACAGCCAATGTTGTGGTCGATGTGGCACAAGACATTTTACTGACAAATTCTTTTTTAAGACAAAAGAATCCAGTGAAACCAAAGACCACTTGCAACTAATGTACGCCCTGCATTTTAAAGGCATGACCCCGTTTCTATTGATCCAGTGGTGCTGTCCACATAGATAACAGGAATCCCAATCTGTCCTTGTGAAATGATCCATACACTCTTTTCAAGTGAATGTTGGCGTCGATTATGGATTTAGGCTCTGTACTTTGACTAGGCCATTCCAACACATTGAAAATTTTCTTTAAACACACCATTGTAGCTGCTGGGACTTCCCTGTCATCCACAAAGAAGTCCAAGATTCCCACATCACCCCCATCTGGAAAGAACTCCACGAGACCAGATCTCCCACCCCATCAGACCATGTGACAAATCCTGAGAGAATGACCCATCAGAAAACTCGAATTGAACCTTAACTTTCCAAAAAGATTAATTTGAAGTCCTCAAAATTGAGTGACCAATGTTGACAGCACTACATCCACCCTAAGGATTTAAACAACTTACAGAAAATTAAAGTCTGTTCAGATAGTTCTAATTATCACTTTGACTAGGTACCATTGTGTCCTCCAGCTAGGACAGTGGAGACCAGAGGAACAGCAGGAGCTCACCGATCATGTCTCCCTGCCGTGCACCATCCCCCCAGGTCTTTGAAGATGTCGTTTATGTCCACGATGTCTGACTGTGAGAGAAAGGTTTCAGAAAGGTTAGCATTTTATATTTCGTTTTTTTAAGAGTATGGTTAGCAATCTAAGAAATAACATAAGGTACCTGTCAGATTAATGAGATTAATTGAAGAATGGTTTTAAGATCTGGCTACAGATTAAATTGGCTTAAGGTCTGGAGATATTGACAGTGGCCACACGGTTGGTGTGTTGTTTAAACCCTTCCATTGTAAGGCAAATGCAAATCAGTTTTTCACGATCACAATTTGTACTATCATGTTTGTGCTCATAAACGTGACAAACTGAGAAAAGTCTGTGGGGGGTATTGTTTGGGTCTGTTTGTTGGTTCATCGTACCGTCCAGTTGCTTATGCCTGCCTCGCTTTTCTTGGGATCCTCGCAGATCCTCCACAGTCATGGCCATCCTCCTCCGCCTGAAGCTGCATCTGACAGTGCACAAAGGATCCACCATTTCACAGCGTATCTCACATTTCAAAATATATAATAATAAAACCATACCTAGAAAACGCAAGGTACATGTTCTGAAGTTTTCATTGTCAGACCTCCCTGTAAAAAAAACATAATACAACATTAAATAACAAATATTTGAAAATTATATTTTTGGACCTAAACATGAATCTTAAAAATATTTACTTTCATTTCATTTTTTAGAATGTGAAATAATTGCTTAATTAGTCTTTAATATGGTATAATCAAAAGTGGTAGAATGTTTGCTTAGTGGTAGAACTTACATTCGGAAACAAAACCATGTGTCACAGTTAGTTTGTCCTTGGCCTGAGAAATGACCTCTTTTTTTTGTGGCCTTAACCTAACTTTTGCTTTACCTTACAAACGCCTCCGGCAAATGGATGAGCAATATACGATTCATCATCCCTTTCTCCCCACTCGCCAATAAGCTGCTTCAATGTATGCATCAGTGTGCGGATTACCCCGCAGAGAGACAGACGTGACGAGCTCTCAACGCGGGCCCACGTCCACAGCGCTCCTTCGTAGCCGCTTCACGCGGATTTCTGGAACGCGTAATTGAGCGCAGGCGGAAGTCGGTGAACAGACGCCTCCCAGCTGCAGCTTCCTCCTGTCTCTGGAAGGGCACACAGGAAAACACATATGATAATAATAATAATAATAATAATAATAATACTACATCGTATTTTTTAAGGCGCCTTTCCTTACACAATGTCGGCCTTAACTTACAATTAAAAAGTACATTACAAAAACCACTTAAAATACAAAGTTTAAAAATCATGGACAGAGAAGGGTATTTTTATGGTGAGAGTGACATAGCTTGTCTAAACAGATGAGTTGAAAGAGTGTTTTTGAAGCTTGTGAGTGAGTCCGGTGTTATGGAAGTCAAGGGGAAGAGTGTTTCCCAGAGCTGGGACAAAGCGGCTGAGGCCTTACTCCCCATGGTGACGAAGAGCGAGGAGGAAATTGAGGGAGCGGCAGGTGTGTAGGAGGTTCTGACAGGAATGGAGGAGCAAGGCTATGATAGGGCTATGAATGTTTATGATCAGGATTTTACATTGGATTTGGTGAGTAAGCCAGTTTTTTGGAGACAGGGGGAGTGGTTGATGGCGGGGGTGTGTGTGACCAGTTGGGTTTTTTGGGGGGAGACAGAACAGAAGGGGGTTACAATAGTTGAGGCGGGAGGTGGTGAGGCTGTGTACAAAAAGTAAGGCAAGTGGTGTTGAGGGGAGAGAAGAGGAGCGTGATGCGGGTGATGCTGTTAAATGTGTGCGGTGAAGGAGAAGGATGACACTATGTGCACGTCATTAGGTGCCCAAAACATGTCTGGCGACTATATAATTACAATTATTACAGATCTTTCAGTCATTTTTGTATGTTACTACATTGTTTCACATCATGGATCAATAACTTCTAACTGGCATGTTCATTCTACCATTTTAAACACAACATTATGCAAAAGAATACAAAACCTAGAGGTGAAAACTGAACACAGCCCTAAAATGAGTATTAATAAAGTAGTACCTGATCGGTCCCCAGGTAGCGACGCGAAGTGCTTTGAGCTGTTTGTCATGTCTTGGCGAGCTGGTTCCCCTGCTGCTGCATCTGCAGTCTACAGACACACATCATAATTTCACATTTATTACATAATCATGAAAATAATCCATTCGTCATAAAAAATTTTATGATCTTGTCCTCTCGCTTGAGTTCACACTTCTGAATTGGGATTAGAGACGGCGCAGTTGCAAAAAAAAAAAAAATAGTATAATATATAACATTTATTACGATTAAGGATCCTATTAGACACACAGTGGGGGAAATGTAAGGTGTTGCATCACAATTAAAGAACGTTTAACTTACAGTGAGTTTTCTGAGTTTGGCTGTTGTCCAGGTCTGTGCCCACGAGAAACACTGCCTCTGGAGATCGTTGGCTGAGAGGAAACAATTATTGACACAATGTTACATTTCACAATGTATACATGGTAGTTGCAACATATTTTGTGGTGTATCAGCACAAAGGAGGCAGTCAAAACTTTTTAAGTTATAATCGTGGCTTTTTCTGCAAGAATACCACTGCTCACAATAGACTGACGTAATATCAGATGAGATTACCTTTAAAACTAGTATCAAAAACAAAAGGAATCATACAAACCGGACCGAAATATTTTGTAATTCATTTTAGAGCGTGTTTACCTGGAACCTGTTCCGTTTGAACCGGTTCCATGTAAACCCTTATTTCAAATATTGTCCTTTAATAGAATATGTAATAGAAAGTTATGACTTACGCTCAGCAGACTCAGTCCCTCTGGATGTTGGAGGTGATGCCAGAAACCAGAGTTGCTGGATCAGGAACCCCAGCCTGGTACGCCCATTACGAACACCTGGAAACACAACTGAATTGACAAAGTGCAACGTACCACACACTTTATGTGGAGGATCCAGCACATATGCAAACATCTACATTTTCCACATTCATTCCATACACCAGTGGTGGCAAAGTTAACTACTGCAGGTGAAGACACAGCGCGGCAGGCTGCAGAGGCGAGCCGACGCACTCTGACCATCTGCCCCTCCTAGTCACCACCACCAGACTTCTATACTAAAAATTAATGTGGTGAAATGTCACCTGCCTGTGGCACCTTATGTACCCAGGTCCTCCCATTCACAGTACTGACCAGGCCCTTGCTGCCTTCACTTCAGTCTGCCGGGATCAGCTTTCCACCATGCCTGGTGGTGCCACTATAAACTAGGGATTGCAGTCGACAAGAGACTTTTCTGATTTGTACAAATATATATTTTCTTTCCCAGAATAAAGTCTCCACAAACATTCATCAAATTGATCAAATGAATCACTTTCAAAAGTCTGATAACATTCCATTGCCTTTGAATATGACAGAATCATGTTGAGGATTGCTTATTTTTGAAAGGCTCACAGTCATAATACCACAAGGCGTGCGCACCCCTATCAGAAATTACACATTACAGCTTTAATTCATAATAATTTGAGTGTATGAGTCCTGCAAACTCCTTCATTCCCAAACTTTACAGAAACTAACACTATTATATTCAAGTAGTCAAAGACGAAGGCAGGCATGTATCAAACCAAAATGAACTATTTACTTGTGTTTTACTATGCGGCATCACTGCAGCGCTGCAGTCACAACTTGTCCCCAAAAACACGTACCACCACAAAAAGTCTTGTATAAGGCCTTTCCATTCAAAGCTATTCTCTGTATAGTTGATGGGGAAAGGTTTTCGCTTCTGTGCAATATTAGCATTACGCTTAAGGAATCCCGTACAGCCCATAGACTGTAAGCCCGAACGACAGCGCAGGTCAAAAGTCTCAGTAAATAAAGATTTTTTTTTTTTATATATTTTATATTTTATACATGACACCATAGCAACGTGATAACCTGTAATATTTGCGCCACAAATCAAAGTGTAAATAAAAGTACCATAAAAGTTACCTTACCGAAGGCAGCGGTAGATTTCTGCTTCCTGTTATGCGACACGCCCCCGACACGTGACCAACTCTGTACAATTTCAACTTTCACAAGTACAACCAACATGCATCTGTAGATAAACTAAAGAATAATGCCAGATTGAATAGTAATTAAGACCTTAATTGATTTTCATCTTCTCCCGAATAATCTACTTAGTCAGTTACACATGTTATTGTTGTCTTTTCTATTTGGCATTTATTTATTTGTTTTATATAACAGGAACGATCTTTATACATTATATAGTAATTACCAAACAGCTATTTTTAATCGGCTGTGCCTAGGACGAATATAGTGCAACTACTAGTGCTCTGTCCTTGACCTTTGATTAACAAGTTGAATGAACTTCGCAAATTCAGCAGAGTCTGCAAAATGAACCAAATAATGCATCATGTGTACCCCTTTAAGATCACCTCATGACCCTTGCGTACGTATTTTTGATACTTGTAAGTGTGTAAGTATGTGGGTGTAGTCGTGTGTGGGTGTGTGCATACACATGCAAGTGTGGGTAAAGTTGAGAGACAACCTGTTTGTGACCGATGCATCAGTGACCTGGCGGTGAGGCCCCTCTGAACCCCAATGGTGGAAATCCACATGTGGAACGAAATCTCGAAAGTCCACTCATATTCCTCCAACATCCACAGAGTTTGCAGATGATCCAAATATCAGATTCAATTCAATCAGATTAATTTATTTACCATTTGTCAGTAAAACCACATTGAATACCTTGCAAAAGTTCCTCAGTGTATCACAAGACAAGTACATAAAAAAAACGATGAAAGTGTAAAGAAGCTAGTACTGCTTAGTTACCTTCTTAACACTTTTAGAACCGTTTAATCTTTAATATAACAGAAAAATTCTAATAATTACATTTATTATACTGGTAGTTGTTGCATTTTTCACATAGCCCAATATAGTGGCTCTTGCATTCACAAGCCAGTCTAGGGCCTAACCATTGAAAAATAAGTTAATAATTTCTTCTTATGAAGTATTATATATAATTATGTACTGTTATCCCATTGTGAAGCATTAGAAACCTTAAACTCATATAAAATAATTAGATGTAAGTTGGGCCTGTATAGGGCCTTTCCCAGAGCCATAATGTACAGACCGAGCCGTGGCAGTCATTGCAAAAAGGCGCAGGTCTGATATTCTCTGTACAGAAACCGACAAGCGAGGTTAATAAATGTGTTTAATAATATGACTCTCAGTCTGTGTCCTTACCAATGCTTTTGGAGATATTTGTGAAGTATGTTCATGTCCGACTTGGATTTGTGTGATACGCCTATGGACCAATTGTTCATGTAACGGTCCGAGATGGGAACATATCAGACCCGCAAAATCACCAAGTCAGAGCGCGCGTACGGTCCAAGGTTCCCATATAATAAATGCAGTATGTCGCGGAAACCTCTTACTCTGGTGCCAAAGTTTTCGGATCCAGTTACAACACCGACTCAACCCCGAGTTGGCCTGATCCTGAACAATGTTGTGACTTGGGCTATACAAAATAAATGGAATTGCCCCATGTGTTTCACTCTGTTGAAATTGCAAGTTCGTCAACAAGGAAGAATTTACGTCACTTCTGAAGTCACCCAGGAAACCAAGGGAATCTCATTGTAATGGATTATGACAATTTAACATCCATGTGGGAGCAATATTTCCGAATCAGTTTACAAGGACTACTTCATAAAAAGAAAGAGAACAAATGCAAAAGCCCAAACATCTACTAAACTGTTCCTGACTAACTAGTTATGCATGCTTAGGGGGGGGGGGGGGGGGTGGCGTGACCCCTGATTGTGTTGCCAAAAACCATTCTGTTTGGGGGCTGTATTTGTAATGTCTCATTGTGTGACTTAAACAACTTGATAAAATAATGAGTTGTTTCTGACACATGCTTTTGGTCCCACGGTTAGAATGCCACAGGTAGAGTTCGGGAGATTTTTTTTGGAAAATGAGAACAATACCTTCATACGCTGCAGTAATGCTTTGATGTTGATCTATTGAATGGCAGGTAATCTAACAGAAGTCTGCGGTGCAATCTGGTAAGTTAAAGATCCAGATCACGTGACAGGGGCTGTTTTGTCTGTGGGAGGAGTCTCTGGTGTATAAAACCAGGTCCTGTCGCGGCCACAGACTCCTCCCTGTGTCGGTCCATCCGGTAAAACTCATCTCTACTTTTTCAACAGTTTTTGACTGTATAGTAGTTGTTTTCCCCTTTAATTTACAAACTACACAGAGTTTAACAAAGTGATCTTGCATACTTACATCATTTGGTATTGTCTTTGTATATTGAATAACTTCCCATTGGTTCCCTCGTGGGTGTGTCAGTGTTCGCTGTTGCACCATGCCGCCCTGCTCTGCCTTCCTCCTTTCCTCTGCACCGTTCTGTGCCGGTGGCTGGGTGATCCGGAGAATGGAGTCCCATCATGTGGAGCCATGCCAGCAGATCAGCTGACAGACATTACCCACCTGATGGAGTGCTCACCCCAGACCCATGGCACTACCTGCACCGCATGAGCTTCTATACCGTCTGCTCATCGCCTCCACCAACCCCTACATGACTTCTATGGGCCCCGGGGAAACATGAGCCCCATCAGGGGTCTGCCGCTGCCGCTGGGGTGGATGCTCAGCTCAGGTTCCGTCACGTATGGGAAACTAACCTCACAAAACTACCTAATTTCTGCAAATATTTAACTTAGATCTTTTGGGTAAACACTGATTACGCTTGATCCAAAGTACATGCATCGCCGCTGCATAAGCTAATGTCACAGTTACATGAACTGCCCACTCAAAAGAGCTTCAACACACTGCAGAGAACCTCTGGCAAGTGCAAGTTTTGTAGTTTGTAACAGAATTGGGAGCAAATATTGAGCAGTTACATCCATAGCGTTGACCGACTGACCTCCTCCACTGGGACCTACTGTATAACATAACACTGCAATTCTTTTACAAGAAGAAGCAATCGTCTATCACCAAGGGCATCTTTCTTCGGTCCAAAACCATGGCCTTGAATTTTCAAGTCCATTGCCTCAACAGTGACACAGTCCAGGCGCAGTGAGCTGTCGATTGGTCAGAGGACAACTTTGGTTTGTAACTCACATTCAGTGGAGTATAAAATTAGAAACATACATTTTGTTAAGTCTGTATTTGGCTACAGCCCCTGCCCTGATGTTACACGACCGTCTGTCAATGCAGTTATGTTTTTCCCAATTGGAAAAAGATTGACAGGCTGCACCATGCCAGGGAAGTGGGCATTTTTGTGTTCTAATGTTTCTTTTCAGATTAAAGATAAACTACAAACTTCACCTGCCGCTGTGATAACACAGTAGTATGGATCATAAGAGGAAAGGGGGCGAGCCCCTCTTTTGGTATAAACCACAACATGGACTGAGGACGACCTGGGAACGGCCAGCTGGATATAATTGGAACAGTAATCTACGCTTACATTTACACTTGGCCCACGACCAAGAGAGAGAGTATTGTAATGTTATTGTCATAGGTGGTCATGGTCCACAAGAACAAATAAATAATGGAAAGGGCAGCCTAAAAGCAGAATGGAAAATTAGTAAATAATTTTCGGAGTTGCCAAAATAAAAATAAAAATCTTTATTTGTCCCATAGGGGGTCATTCTAATTTTATTGTTGTGCAAATTCAAAAGGAGAAATAATAGCGCTTATAATGCACACATCAAACAGATCTACTCTTTAAGATAATAGATCATATAATAATAAGATAATAATAGAATAGAATGAAATAGTCTGGAGCTATAATATCATTGGGTTCAAGGTTGATGGTTAAAGTCACTTTTGGAGAACACACTCGTCAAGAGGAGGTGCTTTTACAGACGTTTATACAGTATTTTAGAAGTTCAGGATTAGCAGTTTATATAATACTTTAGCAGCAGAGAACATAACCAGTACAATTGATAATAGTTAGAATAGTGAATAATCAAAACAGTTTTATTGTAAAAAATAAATATCAATAATGTCAAATTATTCAAATAACTAAAGTAAAAAGGAATCAAATGGAGTCAGATTTTAGATGCTTCTGTTTTTCACATCTGTAGGATCTAGTGCAGATGTGTTTATAGAGAGTAGTATTAAAATGCAGACATAGAACAACAGGCTTTAACAATATTTTAAATCTAAAAATAGCTCAAATATAACATTGCTCTTGGTGCAGCCTCTGAGCTGCTCCATTGGAGAACAGGTCAAATGTTATTGTTTATTACAAACAGCTGATGTATTCACACATATTAAGTTTTGGACAACACTTTAAACAGTTATAAGCAGCGGACAGAAGCCATGAATGTGCTTTTGTTTATTAAATAATTAATTTAATAGCCATATAATCGTAGATAACGTTTTTTAATTAGTTCTCTTCTTCCCGCTCTCTTTCAGGCAACTTGATTTAGATTTATGTCTTTAATATTTGAAAACTACTGTGTTGTTTTTGAATTGTCTGAAATACAATACATAAAATAGTGATTTGCAGAACGAGAACCAGCCAATGAAAAATCATCTATTGCCGATGCTATGGCTACAATTAGAACCAACAGAGATTCAAAAACATTTAAAAGCATTTTGATGTATTAGGGTATAGCACAAAAGTAGATAATCGATTTGTCAGCACAGATTAGAGAATGTAGAATAGACATAGACAAAATCCCACTGGCACAAAGCCACTGATAATGAAAGCAAACCACAGTATAGAGAGATTTATTAGATTAAAACATATGTTTAAGAAAATGGCTCAGTAAAAGCAAATATGCAAAAATATTTGTAAATAGATTAGAATAGTTTTAAACTATAGTGAATAGTTTTAGTGCATACATTACAGACGAGGTTGATGAAGAATCAGTAATGTGATTTGTAAAGGAATGTTTCAAATGTGGTTGTTAGTTGTGTTTTCTCTGAATTAATGTCTTCACAGGAATCCGGCCTGAACTAAAGAAGCATGGATGATGTCACTCATGATGTCACGGATGGATGAGAACGTGGATGTGACCTATTTATGATAGGTCAAAGAGAGGGAGTGTTGTAGAATTATAATGTTGTATACTAATGATTTCCAGTAGGTGTTTGTATAACATGTCTTTGTGCAATATTAAAGCCTGGATTTAATGGAATTCAGACAAGCACCAAGGACAAGGCTTCTGTGATAAAAGTATCATTTTAAGGAACAGCGTGTCTCTAGCGGCCTGAGACACAAAACCAGACTGGGACCAGCCTCAGACCATATGACGTCATCGGAGATTCTGATAAAACCGTTGGGAGGACACATTGTGGGGAGTTGGAGCACAGGGAGAGATTTAGGGAGTAGCTCCAGGAGTTCTGTATCAACATTTAATTGTAAAGAGAAATAAATGTACTATTGGAACTCCTGAAATCTTGGCCTTATTTCTGTACCAAATTCTGAACACGTCAGTCAAATCATTTTTGACAACACCAGAGAGAGAGACCAGAGAGAGAGATACCAGAGAGAGAGAGAGAGAGATACCAGAGAGAGAGGAATAGATACCAGAGAGAGAGAGAGAGAGAGATAGATAGATACCAGAGAGAGAGAGAGAGAGAGAGAGATACCAGAGAGAGAGGAATAGATACCAGAGAGATAGATACCAGAGAGAGAGAGAGATATACCAGAGAGATAGATGAGAGAGATAGATAGATAGATAGATACCAGAGCAATAGATACCAGAGAGAGAGAGATAGATACCAGAGAGATGAAAGAGATAGATAGATAGAGGGAGAGAGAGAGAGAGACTTCTGAGAACTGAACATCTGGGTGTGTAATCTTTCAGGCACAGTTGTGGTTGTTCCTCTTTTTGAGAATCACTTTTTGAATAATCTCACCAGAAGCTAAGCAGTGTAGTGCCTGGTCAGTCCTGTGATGGTAGACAGCTCTAAAGTGCTACCTGCCCTTGTGCCCTGTGGCAGCACACTTCTCATGGTGGGTGTGAGGCTTACATTGGGGGACATCATGGAAGCAGTCACAGATGCCTGAGCTCCACTCGTTGGAGGTCATGGACACCATCACGGGCTGAGGCTGCTGCACCACCATCTTGGTTGTCATGGTGATACCTGCAACAAAGAGTTGGTGTCCATCACACATCTGCTCAGAAGTGTCGTTCCACACACGTCAGTGTGTATTGCACTTCCCCTGATCCTGTGTACTTGAGTCTGTGAGGTCTAAATAAAAGGACAGAGATGATCCAGGATGTTGGTCTCTGCTCCTTAAGGACCAAGACCAACGTGTTCTGTTTTATTTCTTGTGTTTGAACTGTGTTGGCAAATCCAATGGTTTTGTAAAGTCCTCTGATAACACTGATAAGAATACATTGAATGTAATTGAGGTGCCTCCAGTGTGGACTCACCTCCAGCCCAAGCTCTCAGAGTTAATTCAATGATGTTGATGGTAAAAATTAGTATTTAAATCTGTTCGCTGCACCTACTTCCTGACGGCGATAAACAAACTGAAGGTTTCTTCACAACAGTCTCTTCAAGAATGTGCTGCAGGGAAGTAGGTGAACACGACTATTGTAGCTGCTCTCGTTGTCGAGTAGAGATCTAGTAGTCAATAGTTTGACTGACAGGTTTTCATACCGAGTTCCCATGCCATCACGCACAATGGATTCAACACACGCAGTGGCGGAGCCAGACTTTTAAACAGAGGGTGGCCAGGGGGTGGCAAGGGTTTATTTAAGGGGTCCACATTTATACTATTCCGAAATTTTATTTCACACAAAAACTGGCTAAACGATACATTTTAATCTTAATCTTGTCATTATTTTTAATATAAAGTGAACTGAGAGCACACTTGGAAACTACAAAGCAAAAAAGTGTATTTAAATAGTAGTCTGAACAAAAAAGTGCAAAATAACATAATTCAAACATTGCATTACATTTTTCTTTTAACAAATTTAGCAAATTCCTACGGTTCTGGTGTAAAGCAGCAAAGATGTTGACAAACTCATCCATATTCAGCCCTCCTTGACCCTACACTGAGGATACCAAGATGACTCAATCATCTGCCATAGTAGTTCTGAGATGGTTTTTAGGGCAGAGAAACTTCTTTCACAAGACGCAGTACTGACAGGTATTAAAAAGAGTGTGTGTGAAAAAACGCCTTCTGCCAATAGACAATCCTGCACCTGTCTGCGACACCCTCTCATTCTCTGAAACTCAATTATATAAGCTATAATTTAATACAACACAACAAATTCCTCATCATCTCAAAACATAGTGCCTCCGAGTCTGACCTTCAGGTGAGGTTTCATCATCCTGATCTACAGCCTTTTCCTAACAAAAAAAGGCCTGTAGGCAATGTTTCCTCCTTTTCTTTTCATGTTTACACTAAAGGCAAGAGGCAATGGAAAATACACACACAGGCACGCACACCCGCACGCACACAGGCACGCACACACACACTGCCACACACAGGCACGCACACACAGGCACGCACACAGGCACGCACACACACACTGGCACACACAGGCACGCACACACACGCAGACATACTGGCACGCTCACACACGCACACAGGCGCGCATACAGGCACGCACACAGGCACGCACACATACACACACTAAAAGTTCTACAAACTGAACAAGTAATGCGCTGCAGTACGTGTGTCTATACTTTGTGTCAAATGTAAACGGTTGGCTCTGCATCGCTAACTTACCTCTTTGGTTTCATCACGACTTGGGCACAACAACCCAAAGTATTAGCATACAGCACCGGCTCCACACCGTTAATATAATACATCCATGCTCCACACGGAGTCAGGGCGCGTTCACAGACGGGGGAAACCGTGGGAATTTTTAGCTTTTGGCGGAAAAAGTGCGGAAGATTCTCAAGATTAACATTATTACATTGCCGTCTTCCGAGGGGGGCACTGGGGGTGGCAAGGATATTTTTAGAGATGGCAGTGGCCACCCTGGCTGCCCCTCTGGCTCCGCCACACACACGCTCTACAAAACATGAGCCTTACACTTTGTTCTACTCCGTGTAGAATTATCCTTAAATAATAATGCATTTAGATCTGACCAATCAGATTCTGTGTCTTGGTCGAGCAAAGCATCTCAAACCACAGAACCTGCCTCACATTTACTGCTGGGTTTAAACTCTCCCAGTTACAGACCCCAGCTTTAAAGCCTCTTACCCGCGTGTGTTGCGGTGTCTTGGGGAACAATCGGACATGAGACTCTGACGACCGGACGATCTGGTTCCGTGTCATTGTTATTTATCTGAGCATCAGCTTCTGAGGGCGCGGCTCAGGAACGTCACATATTGGTGTTCGCCTCAAAGAAACAGGAATATTACAGTAAATGCAGTCCCTTAGAGCTCAGGTACTATAACTTTCAATAAACTAAACCCATGTCTCTGGTTCCTGGCTCAAAAGACCGCGGTGAAGTTAGTTTGAAGTTGGATATCCGACAGACATTCAACGGTCATTCCCTCTCGGTACACCTCTCCTTCTCTCTGGGTTCGCTCTCGAAAGCCGCTCCAACATTTTAGTGCACCCCTACTACACACAGTACGGTAAACACGCGGAGACATGCACGCTGGTCTAATATTTACATATAAAAAATCATTAAAAATACTTACA